CCGCGCGCTCGACCATGCCATGGGTTTGTGACCGATGTGGTGTGATGGCGTCGCGTCGCCAGCCCAGTGGGCGGCATGCTTTCTGCGACCCCCCCGGGCTGTCTGCACAAATGCGTTGCACTTCTTCATTCGGGGCGAGAAATTCTAGAATGGATGCCTCGGTAGTCTCGGCGTCCTTGTGCTTCGCGGGGCGCGCCATGATAGTGCCCGTGAACTTGTCCAGCACGACCAGGGCGCGTTTGTCGCCATATTTGTCAAATGCGTCGTCTGCTTCAAGGGCGACGTGGCCACCACTCAGAGCCTCGCCGAATCGTTTGGGCACGAACGCCTCGTACTGAATGTCATCCATAGTGGGTCCGTTGGTGGGTTGGGTCGGCGTTGGCGTCGGCATGGTGTGTTGTGTACCAGAATGCGTGCACAGATCTCACAATCGGGGTGTTTGGGACTGTGAGTAATGTAAAGTGATGGATCGATGGGTGGACGTGGTCTTCCAGGTCGCACATGTGCGGGTGTCCCCACCGGCGCAACTGTGCTAGACATCGAATCAGTCCGATCCGTTGCGAATGTAGGTGTGCCCACCGGCGCCGTAGCACTACGCCTGAATGCGGGTGTGTCTCCGAGGGCACTCGGATCATCCTCGCAACATTTGCTTGTGAGTAGAAACGAACTGTCGTCGTTCCGTTGCCGTGCGCGTCGACACCGTCGGGATGCAGGTAGTGGCACACAAATGAGGCGGCCAATTTTTTCGTACATCGCTGAAGTCGAGCTCTGGAATGCGGCTGTTGACGTTGAGTCTGCACTATTGACCACGAGGGTCCAGTAGTAGGTAACCAAGCTGCGGGCCCCAGATCTGCCTGGAACCGTCCTCCTGTACCAGTCGTCCTGAAAATAATACCGATGGGCCGTCGTTCATTGCAGTGCCGAACTAGATATTCGAAAATGCAGTTGTGTGAGGTGGATGTGTTCGTTGACGATGCGGACACCGTTGGCTGTTTCGAATGTATGTTCTCGTCCTTGATGCACGTGAGTGGTTTCGTGCGATTGAAGGTATGCCTTGTCTTGGATGTGGTGGGCGGAGCCGCAATCCAATATCCATGTTCGTGACAGCGTTGCTGTGGACCGTGGCGTTGTCCTAGAACAGATGCGGGCGTTGCCACCGACGCAATGTTGTGTCGGCGGTAGGTCAAGCACCATGGTAAGTCTGGAGGTCTGCGCGAGCTCGTCGTGCAAGCGTTGTGTCCCACTCTGACTGTTACGCAGCGCGTGTGTGCTCTCTTCCAGCCACCAATATGGTAACGTCTCAGGCACGTCGACATGTTCACCTTGGCAATACGAGGATTCATTATTTTTGTACAAATTGGTGGTGAACTGGACAGGTAATGATATCCACATCAAAACGTAGATGCCACAGTGATGTGTCGGCTAGAAGGAGGAACCTCTCGCGCGTCTCATAGGCTCGATCACGTCTTCGATTGCACAGTGTCGCCGCTGGGGATCGCACGCGGTCGCGGGTGAAGGGTAATCGGCTGCGGCCGCGAGATGTGGATCGGCTGCCGCGTCTCTCACTCCTGGTGTGGGAGCGCCCGCGATGGTGGTCCTGGTTGGAGTTCCGCGATGAGGATCTGAAGCGCTGTGGGGAGCGGGGTGCCCATCCGCGACCCCCCGGACCACGCGAGTCGGGGCGCCCCAGGATCCAGACCGCGAGGGCGCGGATACGGCGTGATGGACCCAGGGACGGGCCTGGGGCCCGCGTTGAGCGGCCGTCGGTCGAGGTCGGGGCGAGGGGGGCGGCCTTCAGAGGCGGGGCCTCACGGGTTGCCATAATTGCTTAGCCAGGACACCCGCGGGGGCGCGAGAGATGAGGAAGAGGAGGAGACCCCAACGAAAACTCTGACCCGCAGCGCAGGCACGGTGGCGGGATGGGCCAAAGGCCATTCGGTCCGCCGCCCCCTGTCGAGTCATCACAGGGGTGCCTGGCGTGCTGAACTTCTTACGGTTTCGGTGTTGGTTCTTTTTCCAAAAGGACTCCCCCTGGTGCTCCGGCGCGTCCCGCCGGGGTCCCGGGACGCTTGCCCAGAGGCGGCTGCAAAGCCCCCAAAACGGCCGTTTCGCTGGGGACATCCTCAAACAATCGCGAAGATGGCCCAAGATGACCTCCAAGATGGTCCAAGATGGCCTCCAAGTCCGCCCAAAATGGTCCTAGACGGCCTCCAATACGGCCCAAGAGAGTCCAAGACGGCCGAGGACGGCCCAAGAGGCTCCCCAGAGGCCTCCAAGACGGCCCAAGAGGCCTCCAAGAGGTCCTCCAGGAGGGCCTGAAGAGGCCACAGACATTGATTTTCCTCAGGTTTTTGAAGGATGTTGACATTCGCTTCTTCTCGGCTTTCCGACGCCCCAAGGCGACCCAAGAGGCCCCCAAGATCGCACCCACAGCGCCCAAGAGGCCTCCAAGATGGTCTCAGGACTGCCCAAGAGGCCTCCAAGACGGCCCCAAGAGGGCACAACGACGACCCAAGAGGCCTCCAAGACACCCAAGATGGCATCCAAAACGGCCCCGGAGCACCCCAAGAGGGCCCCAAGTCGGCCCCGAAAGGGCCCCCGAACGGCTTCCGACGGCGTCAGCTGGGCCAGGAGCCCACCAAGATGGCCGAAGTTGGCTCGAGGCTGGCCCAAGACAGCCCAAGCGGCCTCCAAGACAAGAGGGCCTCCAGGAAGGCCAGAAAAATAACAAAAACACTGATTTGTCCTACGTGTTCGAAGGATTCTGATGTTTGCTTCGTTTCGGCCTTCCGACGGCCCGATACGGCCCAAAAGCACCCAAAGATCGCCCAAGGATCTCCCAAGAGGCCTCCAAGATGGCCCCAGAACGGCCCAAGAGGCCCCCAAGACGGCCCCAAGGGGCTCCCAAGACGGCCCAGGAGGCTTTTAAGACGCCCAAGATGGCCTCCAAGACGGCCCTGGAGCATTCCAAGAGGGCCCCAAATCGGCCCAGAGAGGCCGCCCAAACGGCTCCAGACGGCGTCGGACGGGCCAGGGGCCAACCAAGACGGCCGAAGATGGCACTAAGATGGCCCAAGACGGCCCAAGAGGCCCCCAAGAGGGCCTCCAGGAAGGCCCGACAAGGCCCAAATCATTGATTTCCCATGAGTGTTTGAAGGATTGTGGCATTTGCTTGTTGTTTGGCCTTCCGACGGCCCGAGACGGTCCACATGCCCCCAAAGATCGCCCAAGAGGCCCAAGACGGCCCCAAGAGGCCCCCAAGACGGCCGAAGAGGCCTCCAACACGCTCAAGGTGACCTCCAAAACGGCCCAAGAGCCCTTCAAGACGTCCTCCAAGAAGGCCCGAAAAGGTCAAAATGGCCTCCAGGCGGCCAAGATGACCTTCAAGATGCCCACGTGTTCCCCGAAGGCTTTCCAAACCGATTCGGGGAACACATGGTCCGATAGCTTGGCAGATCTGGCCTCAACGTTCGGCCACATAGGCGCTTCCAAAAAGACAGGGGGCGGCGGTGATTCGCCGTATGCGTCTTCGATAGCTACTCTCTCTCTCTCTCTCTTTATTTCTGTATTTATTTCTTTATTTCTTTCTTTCTTTCTTTCTTTTTCTCTCTCTCTCTCTCTCTCTCTGGAAACCGCGCGCTCTAAACAAACTCCCCAACCAATCAACAATATGTGCGCGATAGGCTTTCTCTACGCTCCATGCGATCTGCATGTGATACGCTCTACGTCCTGCCACATATTCTACACATGATACAACTTGTGCACACGACCCTCTCTGCACCACCCGGGCTACACCCAACACGATGTACGCTATGTGCGCACTATGGGCATTGTACAGATACACTCTCGTCGCTCACTGCACCCACCTTCGCCACCATACACATCCAATTGTTCACGCGACGTTCTCCACATGACTTGTACTTTCGACGCGCTCTACAACGTCCACACCCTATACAATCGCTACACGCCCTATCCCTCCCGCGCTCTACACACTCTCCACAATCACGGCGCTCGTAACGCTCTCTAAACTCCCTGCATCTCCTCCGACATCTGCACTCCCGGCACTTCTTATACTTTCTACGTTATACGATGTCCACCATACTCCCTATCCTGCGATTTCTTCTCTCGGCCTGAATCCGGCATTCCATGAACCACAGGCCAAGAGCCCACACACCCAAGGGACAACCGAAATCGGCGGCCGCATTCACCATATCCCATATCCTTCCTCACGGCCCTTCAGAACGAGCGCTGATTGGAGAATGTCCACCACCTTGTCCCGAAGCACGAAATGGTTTTCCCTCAAGTCAGCCCGAATTTCTTGTATCGAATATAATAGATACTCTGTCAGGGGCCGGGGCCACGTGCTCTGGGCGCTCACGGGCGCTCCCGCGCGCTACTGGGAATCCCCGCGCGACTTGTTCTTTTGAGTGCTCGGGACCGTGGTACGGATCCCACACTTCGAAACTAGCCTCAAATGGCCTCACTTGGGCGCGTGTTGGAGGCCGTCGGCCAGCCCAAGAAGACAACATCACTGACGGACTGTATGTCTCTGTGTGACGTGAACAAATGCACCTTATCAGCCAGAGGATCGTGGCCCAAGAGGCCCCCAAGATCGCCCCATCACGGCCCCCGATGCCCAAAAAAGAGCCCAATAGGCGAACCTGAAATGCCATTTCGCGAACCGTTTCCATGAAGAGGGCCCCCGATACCGCCAGCAGGCCCCCGAGATGGTCCAAAGGCCACCAGAGGCCTCCAAGAGGCCGTAAGAGACCACCAAGAATCCCTCAAGACGCCCCGCAAAACACTTTCAAAAGAACTCCACGATGCTTCCCATGTGCGCAGGGGCCCTGGCGATGAGTACGTGTGGCGGCATGGTCCCTAACAGGTATGCCCAGAATGATACCAACATGGCCAACCACCCTGCGCTGATTGATCCATAACTTATTATGACAACGCCAAGAATAGGACCGTGAGACAGCAAAGCGTCGAGAAGCTCGGTCCGTCAGCTCAAGCTCAACGACCATCTGGGTGCCTTCGGCTGTGGAGCTGGGCCAGACTGCGATCTGGACTGGGATGAAAGCCTGCAAGCGCTGCGGCAATCAGGCGTGGGAGCGGTCAATACAAAATGCAGGAATTATCGCAAGAAACTGGACTGCCAGCCTCCTCAGCACACCAACTCAAATCACCATGACGACTGATCTCTCTGCGCCAGCACCTGTTTCAATTGGACTAGTGGACGCAACGCACCCGTTCCGAAACGCGTTCGGCCTGCTGGGGACACATGTGATTGGGTAGAGGAAGCGATGCGCCTGCCAGGCAAACGGCAAGAAACCATGTAATTATTCACTGCGTGGACCCCCATATTGATATCGATTAGCATGGACCTGTCCGCCGTGAGTTTCTAGGCGCAAGAGTTTCCGAAAACTCACGGGCTTAATATTGACGGTCTGGGAATGAATCTAACTGTAAATGAGTTGGAGTGTGAACCAATCTCAGTAATACGAACGCGTCTCTGCGCATGAGCCTGGGGCCTTCGGGGGCCTCCTGCAACCTCCTGGGGTTTCCTGGGGCCTCCTGGAGCCTCTTCGGGCCTTCTGTGGCCTCTTGGGGTTTCCAGTTTCCTCCTGAGGCGCCCCAGGAGAGGCCCAATACATGATCCAGGGTCGAGGGTTCACGGCCCCCCCCCCCAGATGGTATGGTCCCAGGATTCCTCGGCCCCCCTCCCCCCAGATGGTATGGTCCAAGAGACGACGACGACGACGACGACGACGACGACGACGACGACGACGACGGCGGCGGCGGCGGCGGCGACGAGGACGACGGCGACGACTACGACGACGGCGACGACGACGACGAGACCACGACGACGACGACGCCGACGGCTGCGGCGGCGGCGACGCCGTCGGCGGCGGCGGCGACGACGACGATGACGACGATGACGACGGTGACGACGACGATGACGGCGACGACGACGACGACGATGACGGCGACGACGAGGACGACGAGGACGACGAGGACGACGAGGACGACGACGACGACCTCTGAACCACCACAGCACCACACCACATCCACAGGGGGGGGGAGGGGGGCACCGCAGCGCAGCACCACGCCACGCCCACTTCTGAACCACCACAGCACCACACCACATCCACAGGGGGGGGGGGCACCGCAGCGCAGCACCACGCCACGCCCACAGGGGGGGGCGGGGGGGACCATCGCGCGGGGGGGGGGGCCCAATGGCATCAGCATTGGGGGGGGGCCCAAGCCCTGGACCATATAGAGGAACAGACGTACATAGAACACTGCGGATTAGAGCCGCAGGAGAAGGGCAAGCTGTAGGAGCACGCGTAAAATACCAAGGACTCGTGCCCCAAGGGAGGCAACATCTTCCGAAATATACGTAGAACACCGAGGATTCGTGCTCCAGGGGAAGCACAATCTATAGAAGTAGACGTACAACACATGAGATTGGAACCACTCCTGTGGCATTCTGATGCCTCCTGCTCCTGGGGACTCTTGGGGCCCCCTGGTGCCTTCAGGGCCTCCTGGTGCCTCCTGGCGCTCCCTGTGGCCTCCTGTGGCCTCCTGCTGCATCCTGGAGCCTCCTGGAGCCTCCTGGAGCCTCCTGGGGCCTCCTGGGGCCTCCTGGAGACTCCTGTAGCCTCCTATGGCAGTCTGCTACCTCCTGGCACGTCCTGTGGCCTCTTGGAGCCTCCTGTGGCCTCGTGCTGCATCCTGAAGACATTTATCTCGGCAAAGCAACCTGACAGCGATGTGTAGGAGCATATCTGGAAGCATTCCCCTTAGGATTCAGATGAGAACCAGTTATAGAATTCTGCTGTTCTCGCAGTCGTAGTCGCAGTGGCGATGACAGTCGCAGTGGCAACGGCAGTCGCAGTCACAGCCTCAGCCTCAGCCTGCCTCAGCCTCAGCCTCAGCATCAGCCTCAGCCTGCCTCAGCCTCAGCCTCAGCCTGCTTCAGCCTCAGCCTCAATCTGCCTTCAGCCTCGGCCTCAGCCTCAGCCTGCCTCAGCCTCAGGCCTGCCTCAGCCTCAGCCCTCAGCCTCAGCCTGCCTCAGCAGCCTCAGCCTCAGCCTCAGCCTCAGCCTCAGCCTGCCTCAGCCTCAGCCTCAGCCTGCTTCAGCCTCAGCCTCAGCTCTGCAGCCTCAGCCTCGCCTGCAGCCTCAGCCTCAGCCTGCAGCCTCAGCCTCAGCCTGCCTCAGCAGCCTCAGCCTCAGCCTGCAGCCTCAGCCTCAGCCTCAGCCTCAGCCAGCCTGCCTCAGCCTCAGCCTCAGCCTGCAGCCTCAGCCTCAGTCCCTTCAGCCTCGGCCTCAGCCTCAGCCTCAGCCTGCAGCCTGCATCAGCCTCAGCCTCAGCCTCAGCCTCAGCCTGCCTCAGCCTCAGCCTCAGCCTCAGCCTCAGCCTCAGCCTCAGCCTCAGCCTCAGCCTCAGCCTCAGCCTCAGCCTCAGCCTCCTCAGCCTCAGCCTGCAGCCTCAGCCTCAGCCTGCAGCCTCAGCCTCAGCCTCAGCCTCAGCCTCAGCCCTCAGCCAGCCTGCATCAGCCTCAGCCTCAGCCTCAGCCTGCCTCAGCATCAGCCTGCCTCAGCCTCAGCCTGCCTGCCTCAGCCTCAGCCTGCTTCAGCCTCAGCCTCAGTCTGCCTTCAGCCTCGGCCTCAGCCTCAGCCTGCCTCAGCCTCAGCCTGCAGCCTCAGCCTCAGCCTCAGCCTCAGCCTCAGCTGCCTTCAGCCTCAGCCTCAGCTGCCTCAGCCTCAGCCTGCATCAGCCTCAGCCTCAGCCTCAGCCTCAGCCTGCCTCAGCATCAGCCTGCCTCAGCCTCAGCCTCAGCCTGCCTCAGCCTCAGCCTGCCTCAGCCTCAGCCTCAGCCTGCCTCAGCCTCAGCCTCAGTCTGCCTTCAGCCTCGGCCAGCCTCAGCCTCCTCAGCCTCAGCCTCAGCCTCAGCCTCAGCCTGCCTCAGCCTCAGCCTCAGCCTGCCTCAGCCTCAGCCTCCTCTGCCTCAGCCTGCCTCAGCATCAGCCTCAGCCTGCTTCAGCCTCAGCATCAGCCTGCCTTCAGCCTCGGCCTCAGCCTCAGCCTGCCTCAGCCTCAGCCTGCCTCAGCCTCAGCATCAGCCTGCCTCAGCTTTGAAAATGTGGCCCGAGAATGGAGTTCTGGGAACTCGAAGAACACGAAGAGGCCTACAGTTGGCTCCAGGCATTCAAAATCATGCCCAGGAATGGAGTTCTGGGAACTCGAAGAACACGAAGTGGCCTACGGTTGGCTCCGGGCATTCAAACTCATGCCCAGGAATGGAGTTCTGGGAACTCGAAGACCACGAAGTGGCCTACAGTTGGCCCTGGGCATTCAAAATCATGCCCAGGAATGGAGTTCTGGGAACTCGAAGAACACGAAGTGGCCTACAGTTCGCTCCGGGTATTCAAAATCATGCCCAGGAATAGAGTTCTGGGAACTCGAAGACCACGAAGTGCTGTACTGTTTGCTAAAAAACCAATCCCCGGCATCCTCCCCCGGATCGCGCCCAGACCCCCCTGGGGCGTCATGATGCTCTCTCTTGACCCTACTAGAAACCTATCAGTCTTCGCTGTTAGGTAATCTGTGCCCACGAGTCTGGCCAGCAAAATCGGCAAACCGCTTGAGACATCCTCAACATCTGGCCCCAGGTGACGGCGAAAATGAGCGCCTCGCTCGAGACATCCTCCAAATATGTTTCGAAAGCAGAGGATGTAGGGCACCGAAACAGGCATCCCGCTCGAGACATCCCCGCCATTTTGGCGCGAACGGAGGAATGCAATACCCTCTGGCGGCTTCCCCGTAGGGGTGCTGGAATCCGCGCCTCGCTAGAGACATCCTTCAAATCTGCTCCGAAAGCAAAGGGTGCTGAGCACCCAAGCAGGCAAACCGGCTGAGACATCCCCCCAATATGGGCGCAAACGGGCCTGTGCAATACGCCCTGGCGTCCCCCCTGTGGAATGCTGAAACCAGCGCCTCGCCTGAGACATCCTTGGGAACCGTTCCGAAAAGAAATGACATTGAGCACCTAAACAGGCAAACCGCTTGAGATATCCCCCCAATATGGGCGCGAACGGGCTTGTGATATACGCCCTGGCGCCCCCCCCCCCCCCCCTGGGAGTACTGAAGCCAATGCTTCGCCCGAGACATCCTCGGAAACTATTCCGAAAGAGAAGGATGTTGGGCACCCAAACAAGCAAACCGCCTGAGACATCCCCCCAATCTGGGCGCGAACGGGCCCGTGCAATACGCCCTGGCGTCCCACCTTGGGAATGCTGAAGCCAGCGCCTCACCTGAGACATCCTTGGGAACCGCTCCGAGAAAGAAACAAAAATGAGCACCCAAACAGGCAAACCGCCTGAGACAACCCCCTAATCAGGGCGCGAACGGGCCCGTGCAATACCCACTGGCGCCCCCCTTGGGAGTGCTGAGCCCAGCGCCTCGCGAGACATGCTCGGAAACTGTTCCGAAAGAGAAAAATGTTGAGTACCCAAACAGGCAAGCCGCCTGAGACATCCCCCCGACCTGGGCGCGAACGGCCCTGTTGTGGTATACCCCCTGGCGCCCCCCCTGGGAGTGCTGAGACAAACGCCTCGCCTGAGACATCATCACAACGCGCGTTTGAGTCTGAGCGCGGAAGTGGTCTGGCTGAGTCTGAGTGAGGAAGGGCGAGGCAGAGCATGAGTGAGTCTGAGTGTGGGTGAGTCTGGGTGTGAGTGAATATGGTATGAGTCTGAGTGAGTGCGAATGTGAGTGTGAGTGTGAGTGTGAGTGTGAGTGTGAATATGTGTGTGTGTTCGTGTGTCCCGCGCGGTCGAAATAACTACTCGACGCGGATATCCCCATATGTGCATCGCATAATGATGGCAAACTTCGGTAAAAGACATTGTCCTTTTTCAATGTCCGAGCGTCAGCGAGTCCACGTGGAGAACGAGGCCGAGAGAGACGCCGACGACTACGACGACTTTAAGTAGTTTCTTCCTCCATCCGTCGCCCTCCTCCTCCATGTCCTCCTCCTCCTCTCTCCTCCTTTCCCTACGAGCACCAATCAAGG